GCTTCCACATTTCATGACTCACACTTTCCTAACCTGTTACCACTCCCGGCACAGTGGCGGGTTGCTTAGTCTGGGTCCTAGTATACAGAAAGGGGAAATATCAAGAGTGGGTCCAAAGTCTATGTATAAACAACAAGCATTTAATCTGTAAGAGAGTAGCCACATGGCTACACTTCAAACCCAAAGAGGTTTGAGACTAGAGGCTTTGTCTTATATCCAGGAAGAAGGATGAGAAATACATAGCTTTGTTGGATCTTCAGAACTTTTTCTACACTACCTCTTATTCTTTAGTCAAAACAAATGCTCAGTCTTAGTGAAAGAGTCAAAGTGTGTGTTTGGGAGGTGTCTGGTGTGGCTGTGGACAGGCCAATGGTACCTATGCTTCTCTTGCTGTGTGCAAATGCCTTTTAAGTCTGTATGTCTGCTGTGGTGGTTTGAAAGAAAATGGCCCCCAAAGGGAGTGGCACTATTAGGAGATGTGGCCTTGTTGGAGTAGGTGTGTTCTTGTTGGAGGAAGCATGTCCTGTGGAGGTGGGCTTTGAGGTCTCATATATGCTCAAGTCATGCCCAGTGAGACAGACCACTTCCTGTTGTCTGAACAAGATGTAGAACTTTCAGCTACCTTCCAGAATCATGTCTGCCTGGATGTCTCCATGTCCTACCATGGTGATAATGGACTAAAACTCTGAAACTGTAAGTCAGTCAACTGCTGACTTTGCAGCAATAGAAACCATAACTAAGACATCTCAGTTCAACTAACACCCCTAGTCACTGGCTGAGTTCTGGGTACAAATGCTGAATTCTACAGGCCCAGATACAATTATTAGCTTTAGTTATTTTGCTGTTCAGCAGAAAATGCAAACACTACAAGTTGATATCAGAGGCTGTGGTTTATTAAAGGAAGTTTCACGCATGCTTGTCCATGTGTGTGCATGCATATGGAGGCCAACACAACCCCCTTCTTCACTTAAACTACAGGAGCTGGCTTTCTTCAGTTGCAGCAAAGAGTCCCAAATGATTCAGGGACAGACACAATGTTTTTAAGTAATAATTTGTTTAGGAGTATAATTATTTCTAACTCTTGAATTAAAGGGAAAATGGAACAGTACTATTTAAAATGGAAAGGAATGAATGTGGATAGTTTAAACAACTATATGCAGGCTAAAGGCACAGTGACAGCTCTGAAAATCTGTTCTAAATCTGAAAATTCAACAACAACTATTCAAGAAGCAAAGAAATGCAAATCAGCCACTCAGATTTTAGAAGGAGGGTTTCATTTTATATGAAGTGTGGAGGCCTGCTATTCTTGCCTCTGTACTGGGTTCTATTTTTGTAGTGTCAAAAAAATGATTCAGTCCCACATACTGGTCTTCTAAAATGCTACTATTATGATGATGGCTGCAGCAAAACAGATGTAAGAAAAGGGACACTTAAATTTGCAGTTCCTCAGCCTGAATTAGCTGTGCCAACCATGCGGTAAACTTAATACTGTGCTTAAATGGAAAAAAACTGGATCTGAATTGTGAAGTATTTATATACACATGTGTTTATTTAATTTTCTTACAGGTGTATATTCATGTTGAGTGTATCTACTCTGCCTCGTTCCCCACCCTCCCCGCTTCCCCCACCTCTCTTCCCACCTCCTATCAGCCCCTACTTTCTTCTAGACATTTCAACTTTCACTTTCATTCACTGTGGACATACATGTTTTTATTTGACTTTATACAATCTATTGACAACCACAAACAAGGGTAGACACATGATATTCATCTTTCTGAGATCGACTTCATTTACTTCATGTAATTTTTTTCATTTTCCTATAAATGACCTAACTTCGTTCTTCTTTATGGTTGAAATTTCCCCTTGCATGTATATGTAAACCACATTTTTCTCCCTTCTTCATTTGCTGGACACGTGTTGGTTTCATTACTTTGCTACTGTGAATGGTGTTGCAGTAAACACTGATGAGCAAGTATCCCTAAGATGTTGATTTGGAGTCCCCCAGGTAAAGGCCCAGCAGTAGCATAGCTGTTTGATGTAGAAGGTCTATTTCTAGTTTCTTGAGGAAGCTCCATAGTTTTTCCACAGAGCCTGTGCCAACTTACATTCCCACCAGCAGTGAATGAGGATTCTCTTTGGGTTCTAACCTTCCCAGCATTGATTGTTACTGTTTCTTAATGACTGACATTTTCACTGGAGTAAGTGCAAATCTCAATGGAGATTTGACTTGCATTTCTCCCATGACTGACGAGGTTGAACATTTTCAAATATATATATTGGTCTTGTGTATCTTATTTTTTGTGTATGAATTGTCTATTTTATTAGCCAGTTTATAAGTTTCTTTCTGTTTAGATTTTGAGTTCCTGCTGTATTCTAGATGTTAATCTTTTGTTAGACGTGTAAGTAGCAAAGATTGTCTTTTTTCATAGGCTGCCTCTTCATTGTTTTCTATACTGCACAAAAGATTACTGATTTCATAAGACTGTATTTATTGATTATTACCCTATTTCTTGAGTAACCAGAGTTCCATTCAGAAAGTCCTTGCCGTGCTTATAGCTTGAAGTGTTTCCCCCACTTTTCCTCTTACAGCTTTAGAGTTTCAAGTCATATGGTAATGCCTTTGGTATATTGGGAATGGGTTTTTATACAGGATAAGGACCTACTTTCTTCTACAGGTGGATATATAGTTTCTCCAGCACCATTTGCTAAAAGAGGTTGTATTTTTTTTTCTGATGTGCATTCTTGGCATCTTTGTAAAAACACTCATCAGGCAGCTGTAGCTGTGTGAGTTTATATTTTTATCATTTAGTCTATTCCAAAGACCCACTGTCTGTTTTTGTATCTTGCTGTTTGTTACTATGGTATTGTATAGCAAGTTCTTACAGAGTTGAAGCATTCCATCCTTCAGGATTCTCCTTAAGACTCTGGAAGTCAATAACTCACAAACCTCAGGAAATTCCTGAAACATGCCAGATTCACAGGGCTCCCTCTGCAAGGTTATAGAAACAGTAAAAGCTACTGAAGAGAGGAGACCATCTGCTCTGAGAGCTGTCTTCAAGCTCAGCAGTGAACTCTAGGGTTCCAGCTTTTATGAACTGTTCCTCATGCTAGAGCATGATGTAACATATCTGCATTTGAGTTGACTGTACTCTTGTAGCTTCAGTAAACACACCAGTTCATTGTTGGAGCCCATTTTCAGCTTTCCTAGTGGCTTTACCCAGCATGTCCGCATAGAGAGGATGATTGGACCACGGGCCTGAGTGCAGGTGTCTGAGATGGTCTACACTTGGCTGTGCTGGGGTGAGGTCTTTTGCTCCACCCCTTGGCATTTCTATAAATACCCTAGGACAGAGACAGTCAGGGCCTGATGGAATAGGTTCCAGGCCCTCTCAGCTATCCTATATTTTCTATCTGTTTTTCTCCACACTCTAAATCCTTCTATCTAATATTTCCTGCTACTCCCACTCAAGGGCACTCTGGGGAAATGTGGGGGTGGTGGGTAGCCCCCCACAGTTCATCAACTTGGATTTGGTGGTATTGTTACTCTGTCTTTCACTAGTTCCCTATCTGGGGTGAGAGACGTTTGCATATGTCTCCCCAGGAACCAGGCTATGAAACACACGGCTCTGTGTCTAACAGGAAGTCAGGTGTGCTGACGCCTCTGCCATTGCTCTTTCCGCTCAGGATTGCTTTGGCTGTCTGGGGTCATTAGTGCTTCCAAATGAATTATGAAGATGTTTTGCTGTTTCTGTGAAGAACAGGATTAGAATTTTGATGAGGATTACATTGAATTTGTAGACTGCTTTTGGCAAATAGACATTTTCACAATATTGATTGTTCTGATCCCTAGGTACTGGTTGTTTTTACCTCTGTAGTTGTCTTCTGTTTCTTTCTTCAGTTATTTTAATGTTTTCATGCTAAAAGTTTTTCACTCATTTGGCTAGATTTATCTTTTATTTTGTTTTTTTGAGGCAACTGTAAATGAGATTTTTTTTTTTTTTGGTTTCTTCCTCAGCCTCCTTGTAACTAACGTTTAGGAATGAGCCACATAATTGTATGTTAATTTTATATCTTGCCACTTTGCCGACAGTGTTTATCAGCTCTAAGATTTTGTGCTGGAGGATTTAAGGCTTAATATAGAGAACCACATCATCTACAAATAAGGAAGTTTGATTTCTCCTTTTCTTGTTTGTTTCTCTTTTATTTTCTTGTCCTATCACTTCAGCCAAGACTTCTTGCATTGTATACTGAAGAAGAGTGGGGAAGAAGGTGAACACTCTTACCTTCTTCCTGATTGTAGTGGAAGTGTTCAGCATTTTCTCCTATTTATTATAAAGTTGGCATAAGTTTTTTTTAATGCAAGCTTTATGAAGTTTAAATGTGTTCCCTTTTCTTTACTCTCTCTCATTGCCTCCACCTCTGCCTCTCTGTCCCTGTCCCTGTCCCTGTCTCTGTCTCTGTCTCTCTGTCTCTCTGTCTCTCTGTCTCTCTCTCTCTCTCTCTCGTGCGCATACACGCTTGTATATGTGTGTGTTTGTCTGTCTGTCTCTGCCTCTCTTTCTCTCTGCCTCTGTGTGTATGCATGTGTGTGTGTGTGTATGTGTCTGTCTGTCTGTCTCTGTCTCTCAATCTGTCTTTCTGTCTCTGCCTCTGTGTGTGTGTGTGTGTGTGTGTGTGTGTGTGTGTAGAAGCATGTGCTTGTGTGTTCATGTGTGGAGGCCAAAGGAGGGTGTCAGATGTATTCCTCTATCCCTTTCTGCCTTATTTCCTGAGAAAAGATCTCTCACTGAACCCAAAGTTTACCATTTGGGGGCCGTGCCAGTGACCAGCAAGCCCCAGTGATCCACTTCTCTCTGCCTCTCCAATGCTGTGGTTCCAGGTGCACACGCAGTCATACTTGGGTATTTACGTGGGTGCTGGGGCTCTTCGAGCATTCTTACCCACTAAGCCACCTCCCCAGCTTTAAATATGCCCCTTCTTTTCCAGATTTCCTTTTTTTAAAGGGGAGAATATGAATGAAGTCCCCCACCACAAATTATGCAGTTGGGTTTCTCACATTTGGGGAAATCGCAGGGGTCAGCACATCTGGAGTGCAATGGATAAGCCTCACCCTGGGAAAACCACCTTCATGATCATGGTATCTCCCTGCCAGGCAAGTACACCTTTGGCACACTTCTGAGCTTTTATATGATATTGAATTCTGTCAAAAATCCTTTTCTGCATCTGTGGAGGTGATTGTGTGATTTTTCTGGGGTAAGTTTTATAGACAACTGAGAAAATAAATATCAGATTCTGAAACAAGGTGGCTACTGCTATAGCTTAAAAACAATTTGTTTCTCTTTCGTCTTCTGTTCTTACTTTCTTTGTTCAAGTTCAAATTTATATAATCTCCTTGGCTATCAGTTCTAGAATGTTCAATGATTTTGAAGTATCTTTTGATATTCTGCTTCTCAAATACTCCCATTTCTTCCCCTGAACACTGACTTCTGAAATGTAGCTTGACCATCTTCTGTTACACTGAATGTACTGAGTGTGTGTGTGTGTGTGTGTGTGTGTGTGTGTGTGTGTGTGTGTGTACACATATTCAACAGCAGGTCCATCACAATGTTGTAGAATTCTGTATCTTGCCTTGAAATGAACTAGAAAGAGCTATTTCACTTATGCTTGGTGGGTACAGGACTGTAATCTCAGCTAGTCTGGTGTCTGAAGCAGGAGGATCATATATTTAAGGACTGTGGGAGCTACAGAGCAAGTTCAAGGGCAGCCTAGGCAACTTAATGAAACTTTATTTCTTAATGAAAAGAGAGGGCCGGGAATGTGGCTCAGTGGTAGAGTACTTTCTCACCATGTATAAGGCCCTCCCTTCAATCTCTAACACTATTGTGGTAGTTTGAGTAAGAATGGCCTCCATAGGCTCATATTATTTGAATATTTCTTCTACAGTTAGTGGAGCTGTTTGGGAAGGATTAGGATGTGTGACCTTGTTGAAGGAAATGTGCTGCCCAGGCCAATGCCAGGCTCCAAATCTCCCCCCACGCACCACCCCACCCTCTGCCTGCTGCCTTCATATTAGGATGTAAAGCTCTCCGATACTTCTCCAGCACCGTACCTGTTGGCTTCCCACAATGATGATCATGGACTAACCCTCTGAAACTGGAAACAAGCCCCCAATTAAATGGTTTCTTTTATAAAAGTTGCCATGGTGATAGTGTCTTCTGACATCAATAAAACAGTAAGTAAGAAAGAAGTTGGTGCTAAGATTAGGGAATTGCTGTGACATGCCTAACCATGCTTTTGTTTGGAGGAATATGGAAGACTTTGGGAATTTGGACTACAAAAAGTAGTTGAAAGCTTTAAGAAGAGCTTAATGGGTCATCCTAGCAGGATCATGGAAGACAGTAGGGTTGAGGGCATTTGGGACTATGGAGGCCTGGCTCAGGGGATTTCAGAAGGGAAGAATATTAGCAAGTGGAGTAAGTGGTCTACAGACCATTCTTGTGATATTTTGACAAAAAGCATTGCTGCTTTTTTGCCCTTGTCATAAATATTTGCGAGAGGTTAAATTGAAGATTTTAAACTAAAGCCATTGGCAGAGGTGATTTCAAGACAGCCTAGTAGTGACTGGGTTATGTGGTTATTAGTGATCACTCTTGTGTAGTTTTACAATGAAAAGCAGTAAGCAGGACAAAGAGAAATACAAAATGTACAGTTTGAGGAGAAAAAGAGAACTAGTAAGTGTTGTGTTGGAATCACGTCTTGTGCTGAAGGAGATAAAAAGTTTGAAGAAGGCCTGATTCAAAATGGAATAAAAGGAGTGGTACCCTCAGGGCGAGACCCAACCTAGCTAAGCCTCCAACTTGTGAAAATAATTAAAGGAAAACCTAGCCACAAAGGAAACCATCGACAATGGAAAGCTGGTGCAAATGTGTTTAAAGGAAGGGTCAGGTTCCAACCCCAGGAAGCAAAAGAACCTGGCAGCTTCAGACACATGGTTCTGGATTTAGAGTCAAGAAAGACACTGGAAAGGGGTTGTGGAATCTTCCTCTGAGGTTAAGGAAAGTTGCTGTAGTGAGGCGTGTTACAGGGGAGTACCTGCATGGAGGCCATAGAGGCCATTACATGGAGCTGTGACGATGAAGCCTGGATTGTTTTGGAGACCCCAAGATGGTATAAGTGTTGGAGTTGTGAGTTATCAGCCAATCAGAAGTGAGTAAAGGGTGTGGAACCATCCCAAAAGAAAAAAGTATGTTGCAGTTAGCAAAACTGGAGGGGAAGAGCCATCTAAGTCCTTTACCATTAGATGTGAAGATACAGAATCTGAAGTTTGCCCAACTGTTTTTTTGATCTTGCTTTGTTTAATATTTCTTCACTATTCCCCCTTTCCTACCTATTGAAATAGTAATGTATATTCTGTGCCATTGTATGTTAGAAATATGTGCTTTGGTTTTTTGTTTTGATTTACAGGGGGTTTAGCTTAGGGATTGCTTTTGAGTCTCAGAAGAGACTTTGAAATTTTGGGCTTTTAAACTGTCTTGAGACTGAAAGACTATGGGAACTTTTGAAATTGGACTAAATGCATTTTCCATTTCCACTATGATGGCTATAGAGGCCTATGGGGGGCAGGGAAAAATGTGGTGGGTTGAGTGAGAATGGGCCCCATAGGCTTATAGGTTTAAATGTTGGTTCCCAGTTAGTTTGGGAAGGATTAGTAAGTGTGACCTTATTGAAGTAGGTTTAGCCTTGTTGAAAGAAGTATGTCCCTGAGGATGGACTTGGAGGTTTCAAAAGCCAGTGCCAGGCCTACTATCTCTTTCTCTGCCTGCTGCCTGAGGATCAGGATGTAAAGCTCTCAGCTACTGCTTCAGTGCCATGCCTGCCTGCTTCCTGCCAAGATGGTTGTGAACTAACCTGCTGAAACTGTAAGCAAGCCACTCCCAAATGCTTTATTTTATAAGAGTTGCCTTGGTCATGGTGTCTGTTTATAACAATAGAACAGCAACTAAGGCCACCTTAAAATATGGAGAGAAAGAAGGAAAGGAAGGAAGGAAGGAAAAAAGGAAAGGAAGGAAAGAAGGAAAAGCAACTAGCCCCTTCTAAATAGTCGTCTCAATGTTAAGAAATGAAGAAGCCTAGTCACGTGAATCAACTGGCCTTCCAGAAATATCTGGAATACTTACTATGGTTTTGCAATTCTTCAAAACCTGGCCTCCCCTTTTCCTTGCTCCATCCAATCATCAGACTATAGTTCTTCCACCTGTTTTGGCTCTCTTATGGTGAGAAGCCACTGCCCCCTTTCTTGCTTGTCCAACACTCAGTTGGCAGCTTAGTTTCCTCTTTAAGGTGGTCTCTCTCTGATCATGGCAGATTTGGTGCCCCTGTTTTATAAAACTTACATTTCATGAACTTACTCACCAAACACACACACACACACACACACACACACACACACACACACACACACACACACATACACACACACACACACACACACACTCACAACAGAGTTGAAACTAGAAAAACTATTAGCTTTATATCCTCTCTTGTGACTCCTGTGCCTTTGCCTTTCTCAACATCATACTATACCCACACTTACAGCTGTTTACATATTTACATGTAAGCATTATAGATTAGATACACATATAAGGGAGAAGATTTTTTCTTTTTGAGATTAAGTGACCTCATTTAACAATATAAATTGTAAGTCCTTCCATTTTCTAACAAATTTCATGATTTCATTTTTCTGTAACACTGAATAAGATGTATATGTGTACAAGATTTTTCTTACACATTTATCTGTTGGTGGACTTCTAGTTAATTCTAGCTCCTTGCTATAGTGCATAGAGCAGCAATAAACATGAATGTGCAAATATCCCTATGGTAGGGCATGGGGTTTTCTGGGAATATGTCCAGGAGTGAAATAGATGTGTCTTAGTCATTCTATTTTTTATTTTTTTGAGGAACCTCCAAAATGATTTCCATCATGATTATATTAGTTTATACCCCACCAGCGATGAATAACTATTTCTCTTTCCCTATATCGTTTCAGCATTTTTTGTTAGCTTTCTTGATGTCACCCTTCCTACTGAGGTGAGGTTGTAGCTAGAGTTTTCCTGCCTGGCCCACAGTCAGGACAAATCTCTCTCACCTGCCAGTCCCACAGCCGCTCAAACCTGACCAAGTAAACACAGAGACTTATATTGGTTACAAACTGTATGGCCGTGGCAGGCTTCTTGCTAATTATTCTTACAGCTTAAATTAATCCATTTCCATTAATCTATACCTTGCCACATGGCTCGTGGCTTACCGGCATCTTCACATGCTGCTTGTCATCGTGGCGGCTGGCAGTGTCTCTCTTACCCAGCTTCCTGTTCTCTCAGTTCTCCTCTCTGTTAGCCCCGTCTATACTTCCTGCCTGGCCACTGGCCAATCAGTGATTTATTTATTGACCAATCAGCAACACATTTGACATACAGACCATCCCACAGCATGAGGTGGTATCTCAAAGTGTGGAAATAAATACTTTTTTCTAGAAATAACTTTTATTTTCAGGAACTGAGTTTTAGCTGACCTTCCAACCAAGTTGATAATGTGCTTTAAGAGTATTTAAAATGGTGTACTTAAACTGCTTTCCTACTTTTAAGAAAACAATGTAACCAATCTTAACTGTGTCCTAGGCTCCCCTTTTGAAACTAAACACATACTTATAATCTTAAAACTATAAACTCTTTTATGCTTCTGATCTGGAGCAGTGTGTGTGTGTGTGTGTGTGTGTGTGTGTGTGTGTGTGTGTGTGTGTGTGTGTTTGTTTGTCTGTCTGTGTCTCTGTATGTATTATGCTAACTACTCACTGCAAGCAGTTAGTTCAATGATAAGGTTGACTGAGAGACATTCAAAATTTAGTTTTTAAAAATTTAATTATCCTTAATGTGGTAGTTTGAATAAGAATGACTCCTGTGAACTCATATGCTTGAATACTTGGTCTGAAGTTTGTGGATCTGTTTGGAAAGGAATAGAAGGTGTGACCTTGTTGGGGGAGCTGTGTCACTAGGAGTGGGCTTTGGGGTTTTAAGAGCCAACACTATTCCCAGTTAGCTCTTTTTCTTTCTGTGCCTCTTGCTTATAAATCATGGTATAAGATCTTAGCTGTTGTTCCAGAATCA